GTATTGTATTCAATGCTAAACCCATACTATCTCTCACACACTCAACACAACATCACATTTTAGGTAAGTTTTTCTCTCATCTCTTTAATTATACACCATTTTTATCATAATTAACAAAACAATACATTAATTGTGACAATAATTGTTAATACAATTAATTTGAATGAATAGTTATGTTATGTTAAACATTAGAAGTGGAATTGAACAAGTTCCATTCACTATTAATAGTGCCGTACAGTAGTACTGTACAGACAGTATAGCAACATAATATAATCAAGCTACTTCCATTTTAATATTATTCACATTTATTTACATAGTATTATAATTGGATATTATTTTGGTTCACATTTATTATCAAATAATTTCCATTTAAACAAACAAATGGTTATTCGAAACGAAAATATCCATTATTTTTGAAATGAATTTTGAATGAAATTGTTTTCGAAATTTGATTCCTATATTAATGACAGCAATAGTTATGACAATAATATAGTTTAAAGTGAATTAAATGAGTTGATAATAAAATTGTCATTAATTGGTTATAATTAATCATTAATATGAAAAGTATAGCGAAAACGAGGATTGAATAGAATTGGTATTAAAGACTAGAAGAATCAGTGAAGAGACTGAAGAGATGTCGATTTGGGCGCAATTACAAGAACTGCCCGAAGAGGCTCAACAACAGGTGCATATGGCATACGGGGAACAGTTCCCGATCGAAGTTCGCTGCGCTTTAGCGCAATGGATAGAAGAGAAGCCGTGGAAGGAGTTGGACGCAGACAACCCACAGCACGAGGCGTACGCTTCCAGTTTGGTCTCGTCGATGATCCAAGAGATCGAAGTGAAGGCAAACGCCACCGAAAACTTTGTCACCAAATTTAAGTTAACGCAAAGCGCACAGAATTTTCGTCTTAATTATTCGCACAATCCCTTCATATTAGTCCGTATTGTGAAACACTGTCTGAACACTGAGTCCAAAGTGATTCAACAATCGCAGAACTATCTGAATATATCAAACCACGAGACAAAGCCCGTCATCCGAGACCCACAGCAAGAGATCACTCAACAGATGGAGAAATTGCGGAAACAGACGGTCGAGACGGAGGAGGAGTTGCGTCGGATGCGCGAAGAACAGGAACAGTTCATCATTCAGTTCCAGGAGAACCAGAAGAGACAGATCACTATCCAACAGCTCAATTGCCAACAAAATCAAAACATTGAACTCATCAACAAATGGCAGAAAGAGAAGGACTCTCTGGACAACGCTCTCCGGAACAAAGCCTCACAACTGTTTCAGATGCGAATGGCTCTCATTCAGAGACATACCGACACTTTTGGCGCCCTTCAGAGTCTTCAGCAGCGAGTGCTCGACGAAGAGCTCATCAATTGGAAGCGCGCGCAACAACTTTGCGGAAATGCAGTGCCTTTTGATAACAATTTGGATCAAATTCAAGAGTGGTGTGAAGTGTTGGCTGAAGTGATTTGGGCCAACAGACAGCAGATGAAGAGAATCGCCGACATGTGCTCGCAGTTGCCATTGGGTCCCAACACTTCCAATGGACACACCGAACAACTGCAACACTTGAACAAACAGATCACGAGTTTGTTGTCCAATTTGGTCACCTCTACGTTCATCATTGAGAAACAGCCGCCGCAAGTGATGAAGACTAACACCCGCTTCACTTCGACGGTGCGACTGTTGGTCGGCGGCAAACTCAACGTGAATATGACTCCTCCGCAGGTGAAGGTGACGATTATCAGCGAATCTCAGGCCAACGCCATGATTAAGAACGATCAGGTGTCCAGCGGTGAGGCCAGCGGTGAGATCCTCAACAACTCGGGAACAATGGAATACCACTCCGCGAGTCGACAGCTGTCCGTCAATTTCCGGAACATGCAGTTAAGGAAAATCAAAAGAGCGGAGAAGAAGGGAACCGAATCAGTGATGGACGAGAAGTTCTCACTTCTCTTTCAATCCAAATTCAATGTCGGCGGAGGAGAACTCGTCTTTCAAGTCTGGGTTAGTTTTGAACATCCATTCGTATTCTTATACATTCTTCTCATACAATCATTTTATTTCAGACCCTTTCCCTCCCGGTTGTGGTCATTGTTCACGGGAATCAAGAGCCCCACGCCTGGGCCACTGTTACGTGGGATAATGCGTTCGCCGCTCCCGTATGTCACTGTCATATATGACTTTCCTCTTTGTCCAATGATTTGATAAATAATATTTAAAATTACATACAATTATAGGGAAGGACTCCATTTGTAGTGCCAGAGAAAGTGCCGTTCAGTCAAGTGGGAGAAGTGTTGAGCCAGAAATTCAAGGGTGCGATCGGAAGGGGTTTGAGTGAAGAAAATTTGCGATTCTTAGCGGGAAAAGCGTTCAGAAACCCGAACCTACAGGACTGGCCAAACCAATTGCTCAGTTGGTCATTGTTTAGCAAAGAGCCCCTTCCGGACCGTAGTTTCACATTCTGGGAGTGGTTTTACGCCATCTTGAAGGTGACTCGCGAGCACTTACGCGGCCTCTGGAATGATGGCTCAGTTATGGGATTTGTTTGGCGCCGACAGGCGGAGGAGATGCTGTCCAAGAAGTCGAGCGGTACTTTTCTGCTGCGATACAGTGACTCGGAATTGGGTGGAGTGACAGTGGCCTGGATTGCAGAGGGACAGGAGGGCAATGAGACCTATATGTTACAGCCGTTTACCTCAAGAGACTTTCAGATCAGAGGACTGGCCGATCGGATCAATGACTTGAAACATTTGACGTACTTATACCCAGACATACAAAAAGATCAAGCGTTTTCCAAATACTACACGCCATTCAACGATAGCCAACCCTCCTCTTCAAACGGATACGTGAAGCCAGTATTGGTTACATTCATTCCCGGGTATGTCCTCTCAAAATGATTGCTATGAATATAGTTGATTACAATGTGTTTTGTATGAACAGGTGGTCGGGTAACAGTCCATTTGACTCGTATCCAAATACCCCCCAATCGGTAATACATAATCCTCACTCTCCGAGCGACGGTTCGCTTTCATATCATGACAACCCGTCAATCCATAGCTCATCCAATGACTGCGCTATGAAGTAAGTAATGACACGTTTTGTCGGTCAGACTCTCTGCGAATTACGATCATTTGGTCTCTTGTCGTGCAATCAATTGATACACAAAATCACTTAATCTCACACTTAAAACATCTTCAAAACGCAAAAACATTTATATATAAAATATTTAAAAGTTTTAAAATATATTTTTTAACAAAAGAAAGTTAATTATTATTATTGAGTTTATTTTATTTTATAAACATATCTATTATGTAGTGTTTGTTAAAACCAAAAGGTTTTCTAAAAAAATGAATAAATTGTTTATTTGGTAATACTTTGTCTTTTCTGATCTTCAGTGCTGTCGGAGGAATGGGAGGAACTGTTGACGATTACACAGATTTAATGTCTATGGATTTGGTGTCAGATCTGGATGTTCCGGTCGACTTCTCCTCTATTAATGTCTCTGATCTCATGTCTTACAGCAAGTCTTCATGAGATCGTTATTAACAGATAATATAAAATCATTTATTGCTATCATATTTGAGTTTAACGTGATTTTCCTTATATTGCAAACATTTTATATAAATAGTAATTTTGTTTGCAATTATTAATAGCAACTAAAAGCTAAAATATTTTTCAATTATTACAAGAGTGCAATATCTCTAAAAATAACGCATTTTAACTATTAGTGCCATAAATGTTATTATTATTATCCACTTATTTGTTCAGTACCTTTAGCTTCAAATCCATTCTCTAAGCCCTTATAGTGCCTCACATTCTGTTTAAAAATTCATATTTTTCAGTACAAAGTGATTGACAGATCTCTCAAAAGTTATTGAATGTTATTTTTATCATATTCTGTGAAAGCTATGATAAAAATGATAAACAAATCACAAGAGTTTTTGGGAAAAAAATATTTTATTCATAACTATTTATTATTATTTGAAATTTACTCGTTCTTAACAAAAAATATGTTTTCTTATATTATTGACTTTTCATAATTTTTAATTCAATCGTATATTTTAGTTAATGTTTAAATCAATTGATTGTTTAAACCAATTATTAAAATTGCAAATCAAATATAGGTTTTTATTATTAGACATTAGAGTGAATTATTAAAACTTGATGCTTGACTTAACACGTGTATTAATGTCTGAATTGAATGATGTGTTATAAATAATTATTGGTGACCAGGATTATATTATTGGCGAACAAACTTATATTACTATAAATGAATTAATTATTAAATATAAAAGCGAATTTCTAACGGAAGTGAAAAGTAGACAAAAAGTGTGACCGCTATTGATATCACAATCATAAGACAGATCATAAGAATCCTCTTCTCATACTTGGTTTGATGAATGGATGCAATATTTGCCAAATTATCATTCAATGTACTCTCACTTTGATTCTTGTAATTGATTCCACAAAACCATTGGAAAAAGTTTCTGATCAGAGATTCTTTGACTTTCTTTTCGACAAAATCCGCGTTTCCAGTGATTAATGTTCCGTTGCTTTGAGTGTTGCTTTCATTGTTGATGTATTGGCATTCAATTTGATCCACATTCTCGGTCTCATCGGTTCGCTCTCTTTCATCAAATCTTGTCCAATAAGTGGTGCGAATGAGCTTTAAATCAATATAATGTTGTTATAAATTTGTTAACAGAAAATCAATGATTGACTGCAACACATACCCGGAATTCTTCGGTTTTCTGAGTCAATAAACTGATTATAACGGCAGAGAAAATACTTAACCAAAAAATAATTATTGCGAAATACATGTAATGAAGTTTAAGGATATTTGGCCGCAAATCCTGTTCACCACAAATGGGCTCTCGATATATGAGATTTACGATTAATCGGACGACTCCCGCAACTAATCCAATAATGAGTGCCCAAAAGGCGCCCTTTTCGTTGATTCTCTTCCACGCGATGGCCAGTATATAAATGGCGGCAATCGGTGGCGAGAGGTTGGCCGCGATGTCCTGAATGTATATATAAAGCTCTCCGTTTTGCATCTCTTGTATTATTGGGATCCAAAGAATA